ATCTAACTGACATTATCTAACACTAACAAACATCTAATTAACATTAATTAACAATAACATTAACTAACATCTAACAAGCATCTAACATTAATTAACATCTAACTAATATCTTACTAACATTAACAAACTGGAAGTGGACAGTCTAACATCAAAAATATTTTTTTTAGGAGTATCAGACCTCAAGATTGTGATTTATTCCTGACGTCGCCTTAAATAATTACAACAACAATGTTCACGGTTTGCATATAATGTTGGGCACGTATCACAGATTAGTAGGTTTTTTTTATGATGGTTCCAAGAACAAGATATATTTGGGTCTTTACAGCATTCATTCCAGTTTTAATGTATATCAACAGGCACATTTTCTTCAGGGAAATCAGCAATAGCGTTTTTATCAATTTGAATAAATAATTTTCAGTTATGTTTGCAGTTGTTTAGGCCTCTACACTGGTTTGTCAAAGGAACGGTTGCATCAAATGTATATGTTAATTCAATTCATCAATCTAAACGGCTCATGGATGAGATGAAAGGAAAATGTCTTTTTAACAGGAAGCAAAAGTTGGAGAATCAGCTATTTCTGGTGCTGACTATTAATCAGCTTTTCAGAGTATTCCTGGGAAATCTCGATAAAGTGAAATTTTTTTCATCTTTCCACAGAGTTTGTGCGGATGATGTCTCGCTGACTCCTCAGCAAACCTCACTGAGGAAGCCGGAGCAACTTTAAAGATCTTTAATGTACAAAAACTCCTCACTGTCTGTATTTTTTCACGTACCTCCAGCACCTCTCAGGTATTAGAGTCCCTTATTTTCGCAGAGTTGTAAAAAAAAATGTGTGATAAGAGATTAAATTATTTATTTATGACTTGGGTGGCGTAGTTTTGTGAGATGAACTTAAATGTGAACACGTGAAAATATGCAAAAAGTAACATATAAAAGACTGACTAAAATTAAGTCTGCACTAACAAGTACTGTACATCTGTTTTTAGTTACTGTTTTTCTTTTAGATTTTGAATTTGCAACAAATTATGCAAAGTTCTACCGGATTATACTTCCAACTTTAAACTGAAGGTTTAAATTAAAAATAATAAACGAGATTTATTGTTAATATTTTAATTATTTTTACATGGTTGTAAAATGTGATAAATAAGCACAGAGACAGAGAGTACTTTGTTAATAACTATAATAACACGTAATTAATAATAATATATGCATACTCTGTTGTACAAATTCACGTGCAATAAATACTTTTTGCATAATTATCTACTGTGGATTGATATTTTATATATATTATAGTCTATGTGAGCACGTCTAGTATTTTCTTAATTTGTTATAATATAGTAACACAATGAATTCTGGTGTCTGTTCCCGGTAAAAATTTTCACACGTTCACCTGAAACCGAGCCTGAAAGTCGAAACCTGAACCAAGAATCTTTTCCAGATTTTTTTTATTTTGCAATTTACATGATTTTTATGAGCTTGAGAAAATATAGGATTAGAATCATACAGTGCACAATAAAGATAAATGTTTGCATGTTTTTACTATAATAATAATCATCACCATAATAAATTATAATTGGGGAGTGGTGGCGCAGAGGCTAGTGGTCGCTGGTTTGACTCCCCGAACCGACAACATCAAAATGGGTGGAAAAGTTGAAACACACACACACCTGTCTCCACCCTCATTTGCCTCACTCTGAGCCCTTGAGCAAGGCCCTTAACCCCCACCTTCTGCTCCCCCGGGCGCCCTAGGTGGCAGCTCTCTGCTCCACGCAGAGGGCTGTGGTAGCTCCATGGTCTGTGGTTGCATCAGGAAGGACATCTGGCATAAAAACAATTAAGTCTTTTAAGAATCTCTTTGACCCATTTTAAACTACAACCTGCATCTTCCGTGTTCACCTCGTGGAATTACTGTCCAACCTGAAGGTTGTTGATTTCAACCTTTTATCATCTCTGATGTCTAAGAAGCTTTCCACCTCCACGAAGGAGCTCAACTGAGTCTCTGGCCTGTCAGGTCTGGACCACCAAGCTCAGCCTCACAGTCAGGAACTTAGTGTTACCAGGAGGGGGCCCCGCTGCTCCACAGAAGACAGAGCAAGACGTCATGTCTCTACATTTGCATTATATATTTAATAAAGCCTGATATGAAACAGACTTTGTCATGTTGGTTTCTCCTGATTACTGCTGCTCGTTCAAAGAACCACACATGTTCATGCCTCGTGTCGTAACGACCTCTATAAAAACCTTCTGTTTACAAGACAACTATTAGATTTTAAATGATGCATGTAAATACTGATCAATTAATTATGAGAAACTGAAGTGGTTTGACAACTACTTGTTTATCACACACCACTGAACGCTGTTTGTATGTAGTGTTAGCAAAATAGCTCAAGAACAGCTGGAGAAATCCAGAGACGTCTAAAGCTTTAATTAAATTAAATTCAGTTTATTTTTATAGCGCCAAGTCACAACAGAAGTCATCTCAGGGCCCTGAACAGAAACATTCACATACATTATAAATGCCATTTAGTAAAGTTCTCCCTCTAAGGAAGGAAGCAGACATGTTGAGTCTTTATTTCATCACAGTCTCCCATCCTGAGCCAGCACAAAGGTGACAGTGGAAAGGAAAAACTCCCTCATGACAGGAAGGACCTCCAGCAGAACCAGTCTCAGGACAAGCGGCCATCGGCTTCAACCAGTTAGGTTTGAGAGGAACAGGAAGAAGGAACGGCCACACAATGGCAGGTCCAGAATGGAGACGAGCAGGTCCTCACTAGGCGGAAAGAAAAATAAAACATGTTAAGATAGAAATAATTACAAATACAAACTATTCATTTGATGAAATGAGGTCAATTTGTCTAAGCCTAGCAGCATAACTAAGGGATATGTCAGGAAACCCAAGCCAACCCTAACTATAGGATTTATCAAAAAGAAAAGACTTGAACCCAGTCTTAAAACTGGTCGGCCTCATGGACAGAAACTGGAAGTTGGTTCCGCAAGAGAGGAGCCCGATAAAGGAAAGCTCTGCCTCCCATTATGCTTTTGGAAACTCTAGGAACCACAAGTAAACCTGAAGTCTGAGAGTGAAGCACTTTATTAGTAATCACGATAAGATTTGTAATATAAGATGGAGGTAAAAATGTGGGCAGTGTCTCCCCCCGACCTCATCACTCACACTGCGAGTGTGTGTGTCATGGAAACAATGCGCAGAGTTGTTGTGCACCAAACTCACAAAACAAATAGTTCCAGGTCAGGCCGGTGTCACACATAAAGTCCATTAATCTGTTGGTAGTAAAGGGAAGTTGAGCAACAAATAAGCTTTAATGAAAAGTTAAATACATGAGTAGATGCATAGGTGAAAAGATGTCAAAATAAACAAATCAGAACAAAGATAATTCTGTAACCAATACTACAAATGATACTAAGGAAGTGCTTGTAAAGTTGCCCTGAAGCTAAAGCTGTGACAGTAAACAGTAGAATCATAAACAGAATGATTTCTTGGCTTGGTTGAATCTGTCTGAGCCATAACACCTAATTATGCGACATCAACAGTTTTTTATTGCACTGAATTCATAACGCAGGCCTCCGATGATGCTGCGTGTAAAACTGCGTCCTCGCTGCTTTGGGAATCCTTCGGCTTGTGAATAATCGCAGGTGTCAGACGAGGAAATGAACTCTGCTGTCTCTGGACCGTCCCATCTGAGACTGAACAGAAGACAAGTCTGGCTCGGTCTCATTCAGAGGACGGTCACAGTCTGCGATCTTTGAGCAGAAATCATAACGTGTTTTTAATCCGCTAATCTCTTTTCTGTCTCGGCTTCAGGGTCAAAGTAAGAACAGCGCACCTGTTCACTTTAAGCACTGAAGCTTGCAGCTGTGAAACATCTAGGTTTGGAGTACACGTTATATTCAAGTACAGATGAAAATAAAACAAAACTGCCAAGACAAATGCAACGATATTTAAAAAATCACCTAAATACTTTAGTATTTCTAGTTTGTTTGTTTCAGTTTTGTTTTTGGTGAGTCCAATCGGTTCTTCTCGTCCTGAACATTCCATTGCACTGTTGACCTTGCGTTAACCTGCATGTGACAAATAAACAACATAACCCAACCTTGTTTGTTTGTTTTAACAGCAACCATCACAGTTTCACAAATTACACAGCAGACCAGTGATGACCTTTTTCATTGCTCTATGACAGAAATTGTCAGTATTTCCATCCATCCTTTCTTTTTATCCTCTTCTTCCTTTGTGGGTCATGGGGATCACTGGTGCCCATGTCCAGCAGTCACTGTGCGAGAGGCAGGGGACACCCTGGACGGGTCTCCAGTCCATTACAGAGACACATAGAGACAAACGAGACAAGCAACCATTCACTCTCTCTCACCTAGGGACAATTGAGTGTTACCAATCAGTCTCACGTGCATGTTTTTGGTCTGTGGGAGGAAACTGGAGTATCCGAGAAAACCCACACATGCACAGAGAGAACGTAAACTCCACCCAGAAAGGCCCCTGGCCAGGATTTGAGCCAGCAAATTTGTTGCTAAGAGGCAACAGCTCTACCATCTGAGCCACCGTGCTGCCCTTTTGCCAATATTTATCATTTTAATTAAAAAAAAAATTCAGATAAAAATCTTTGAAATTTGAGCAAGCATTGTCTCATTTTATAAAAATGCTTCTGTCTACAGGGGCATATAATTATAAGGTGTAAAAGTAGTTTCACTGTCATACACATTGTTTATATTAGTATTTAATTACATTGAGAGAAAGTGAGTTCTGATTGTACTTTCTTGAGAGTTGGCGTGAGCGCACACGGAGCTGCTCCCACTCAACAATATGTTAAGACCAAACATTTACCACCTACCTGCACGAGTGGGCCGAGTGTAGAGGCTCAAGATCAACAGATAAATCCATGAAAAATATACATGCTATGAACATAATGTGCAGATTTATGTGTGTGAATATTGGCTCACGTTGAATGTCAGTGTCCAAATGTGCCCATATGATGTGTGTAAAATAACAGTAGGACAACCTTTATGTTAAAAAAGAGAAATGTGAGTGTTATACAAATATTAAATATTGGACAGTGTCACTTTAAGGAAAAAATTAAATTTCTCCTCATGCTTCTATGATCTTGTCCAACATCTTTCTTTAAGTAAAGAAAAACAATCTGAGCTGAGTGTGAGCATGAATGGTTGTGTGTCTCTAACGTGACCCTGTGTTGTTATGTTGTTTGTTTGTCATGTGCAGGTTAACACAAGGTCAACGGTGCAATGAAAAGTTCAGGACGAGAAGAACTGATTCAACTCGCTAAGAAAAATTTTAAAAAATCAAGTAATGTGCATGCATGCAATAAGGGTATAAAATAAAGTACTAAAAAGTGAACAAAAAATATATTTACAAGGTCCAAAAGAAATATAGTAAATGACGACATGGTAGAATATAACGGTGCAAGTAGGATTAATAAATATTTCACAGGTAGTAAAATTAGCTTAAATGCACATGATATAAATTGCACATAACTAACAAATGCACATGTTGTGTGACAGGTTATTGCACAGGTAGTGAGTAACATTGAGACTAACTGAATGAATTATGATGGTAAGGTAGTGACATGCATGATACAGCCACATAGTGCAGCAGCAATAAACATATTAGGTGTCACAGATGTGGCTTAGTAATAACTTGAGTCTTTTCATGCTCGATGTCTGACTCCTGCATCGTCCGCCCGAGGGTAGAAGGCGGAAAAGTCCTGCGATTGGACAATTGATACGTTTCTTCTTTGCTGCAGCACTCGATGTTCCAGTTCTTCTGAAAACAGCCATTTTGTTCACCTTTAATCCTAATAAGCAGGAAGAAAATACTCACCTGCTTCCTTCTGGGAAGCTGATCAAGATCGTAAAACAAGTCATTTCTTTTTTATCTATTTTAATTGTTTTATGCTCAATTTCTGCAATGAACAAATTGCAACAAAAAAAGCTTGTAAAAACAAAAGAGCAGGAAACGTAAAGAAATATATAGTTTATTCAGTAAATCAAATAATCATGATACTGATGTGATTTTATAGAATCTGCCACTGATAGGCTCTGAACTGGAAACAAAATGATTATATAGTGAATCAATAACGATTAGAAAAATAATCATTTATACAGTAAATCAAAATATTTGTAAAAATGCACTAAATATGATCTGAGATTCTCTTGGTCAGATTTTTCAGAGCATTGTTTTGTTTTCCTGAAATATTACTCTAAAATATCAATTTCAGTGCATTTATTTGTGTCGAGTGCAGAGCGTGACTGTGTACTGGCTGCGGGATTCCTAAGAGGAGAACATTCTCAGTTGTGAAAAAAAAGTTAATTATATTAAAGTTACCTTGTGATTTGCATTTTTCAAACAAATACAATCACAAGGCTTTAGATGCAAACGAGTCCGTAGTTGAAATTAAATGGTTGCAGATCGTTTAAAAGTATCCTGATGCATGCTCGATAATCCAGGTAGAAAAATCTCTGGACAGATTCTTCTTGTTGAAACAGAAGACCTGTCAGTTCAAAAATGGACCAACCTGCAAGAATTCATCACATCAATATGTATTCGTTACTGCATCTATATTGCAAGTACTTTAAAAGTATGTAGCTCTAAATACTTGTAAATATAGATCAACGGAAGACAATGAAGACAGAAAATGGGACAAGATATTACACTGAAAATTGAAAATTTACATCAATATAAACTGAACAGACGGCGTAAAATTCAAAGTTTTTGTTTGTGAGTAAAGTTTGTTCAGCTGTTTTAGGCAAAAAGGTTAAAAAGTCAGAATATGCAACAGTTAAATAAACATCTTTGTAGATTATTTCCATTCTGCTTTTGTTGTTCTACAGAACAAAAACCCACTGAACATCCTGGACGTTCAGTGATTTTATTCTACTTATTTTGCGTCAGGGTTGTGAGACGTTTTGAATTGAACTTACAGCGTATGACGTTTATTTAAACCATTAAGTGATATAAAACTAATGATCGGGCCTCATTACGTGAACGCTACTTCTCACAGATCCAGTACTGTTCAACACCACAGTTCTCATCATTCCAGTCGCCGTTTCCTGTCGCTCGGTGCCAGAACTCGGCGCAGTCCTGGTTCCTCCCCTGATGGCTGTTGGGCTGGCCTTTAGCCCAGAAACTGAAAAACATAAAGAGAATTTGATTTTTTTTTTATCTCCATTTATTAAATCAGCTGTAAATTTAAGAGATAATGAGTTATGTCGTTTCTCACGTCAGGTTCAGAGGATTCCCATCGACCCATTTCCACTGCCCCTCAACTCCTCCATCAGTCAGACCGATCCACACCTCTTTGTCGCTGCTGTACAAACGGTTGATGAAATTCTAGGAGGAAAAAGGCACGAAAACGGGTGAAACTAGAGAAATTGCAGCTAGCTGTGAATGCTACGTGCCGTTTGCTGACATTTGCTAAAGACGCTGAAATTGTGTTGCTAAAGCTAAAACGAGAACACTAGCTAAAAGTAGCAAAAGGCTAGAAAAAAGCCAAAAGTAGCAACAACCAATAAAAAGCTGAAATAGAGAAGAAGAAAAGAACGCTGATGTGAAGACATTTCGATGTATTTCTATGTAGAAAATATTTACAAATAAAGTATTTTTAAGTGTAAAATTTACAAAAGACATGAGTCCTTTCACCTATCTGCTAAGTGAGCTGAACATTTTGATAATGTGTGGCTGCAATAAACATTATGAAGAAACACAATAAAATAAATCAGTTGTGTGGATGCTGAATCAGCTCTCACACACGTTAATCACGAGGTTTTTAAACGCTTCTCTGGGCGTTTGTTCCAGCACAAGCTCCAAAATAAAAAGTGTTTCTTGCACCGAGCTCTGCAGGCCAAAGGTCCTGGGAGCGAACTGAACGTCACAAAGTTGGTCACATTGTCACAACACCAGGGCTTATCATTGCTTCAAGGTTCACACACATTTAGATCAACTATTCTCATATTGTAGGTGCTTTGAAGGTAAATGAAGTTATAACTGGGTTGTTTAGCAGCTGCTCAAAGAGACGACAGATTAGCAGAATGTTCTGGATTCACGAAGAGACTTTGGTTAGTTTGCAGATTTTCAGTGAAGCCTAACGAGTCACAAAGTTCTTAAAATGTAACCATGCCAACAGCTGCACATTATTTATGAAGCCGTCCCCAAAATTATGAGTGTCGCTGACTGGATGTTTAAAAGACTGTCAGCCTTCCAAAAATAATTTGAGCAGTCCATCTAGAGCAGTTTAAGTATTTCTGGACTCATCAGCCTACAGACTCGTTCTCATCGTTTTCTTTTTTTAATTTTTAATTCATCCTTTATTTATACAGGTAGTCTCATTGAGTCACAAGAAATCATTTTCAAGAGAGACCTGTTTAGGGAGCACATGGTGGGAATTAAGGGCCTTGCTCAGGGGCCCGGAGTGGGATGAATGATGGTGGAGGCAGGTGTGGATGTTCCACCTTTTCCACACACATTTTTGGTGTTGACCGTACCGGGATCTGAACCTGCGGCTTTCCGATCAAAAAGGCCCATCTTCTCTAACCTCTGTGCCACCCCTCCCATCAAAACATAATAGACGGAGCCAGGAGCCACAAGTTGGAGACAGAAAGGGCTTCTAGTGGCAGGCTGCACTAGAGTTTTTGAGTTTCACCCCTCACTGAAAACAAAAGGGACATTTTCCTGACAAAAAATAAAAAAAAGTAGTTGATTTACATATTCCAAATTTTGTTCTATGTTTAAATGTGTAAATTTAAAGCATATTTTGTTTCAGTTAGTTAACTGAAGCTTTCAGAAAAGTGTAATGTTAAGCTGTGAGTTACAGAGTGTCAGTCTGAGCGAGATGGGAGGTTGTATAGGCGTGACTTTGAAATTTAAGGTACAGGACCCTGTTTTAGTGAGATGCTAGCTCCAAAAATCACTGCTTTTTAAAATAATGTCCACAGTCTTTCTTTTTAAATGATGTTAAAGATACATTTATATTTGACCACACAATTCATGTTTCTCAACTCTTAGCTAAATCTCTTGAGTCAGTTTTAGAAAAACAAACCATTTCCTCTTGACTGGTTATGATGGCCAGGTCCGCTCCTTTGGTCTGGCAGTCCTCTCTGCTTAGGTTCCAGGTTTTCTTAATTAATGAAGTGTAGTAGCAGCTGTACTGAAACTTCCTCCAGCCAGCAGGGCATTTTTTATCTGCAAGTAAAAGGCACAGGATGATCAGGCACTAGAATAAAATATCTTTCCAAAGTATTTTAACTCGTTTTAAGATGGCCGCTACAGTCAACTGACCATCAAAAACGAGTTCAATTCTGTCAATTTTATAGAAATCGTATTTTTCGGACTATCAGGCTCGCCGGACTATAAGGCGCATTAAGCAAAACAAAACAGCCAGATAAGTCAAGCTGTATTCAACTCATTCACAACTATAGAAATTGCATTTCCTGCAAAAATGCAGTGAAGATCTTGCTGAGAAACAACTGCAATTAGCTTAAAACATGCTGAAGTGCAGCTGAAAAAGCAGAAATACACGTATTTGATGAATTTGGTTTAAATAGGCAGTAATGAGCACGAAAATGACTACATTAGGTTAAGAAAGGTGAAATTAGCACAAAAAAACCCAGCTGAATAGTAGCTAACATAGAAAGAAATATAAATTAGCAGAAGTGGAGAGACCACAAGGTTGCCTAATTAGGCTGAAAGAAGCAAAAATGAGTACAAAAAGTGGAAATTATCAGAAAAAAATAAGTATTTTGCCAAAAGCAGCTGAATAATAGCTAAACAATAGTAGAAAGAAGCTTAAATTGACCCAAAAGAAGTGGAGGGGACAATTGTGCCCACGAAAGCAAAGAAGCAGAAATTAGCACCAAAAAGTAGAAATTTGCTGAAAAAAGCAGAAATTTGTCAAAAACAGCTGAACGGTAGCTAAAAAAAAGGTAGAAAGAAGCTTAAATTACCAAAAGGAAGTGGAGTGTGCACAGATGTGCCCACTAATGCTGGAAAAAGCAGAAATTAGCACAAAAAAGTAGAAATAATCCGTAAAAAGCTGAAATTTCCCTAAAACAGCTGAATAGTAGCTAAAGAAATGTAACTGGTTGTGCTTACTGACCTGAAAGCTTAGACTACTAGAGGACAAATTGACCACATTTCCTTAAATTAATTGTTACAATTGAATAGTTTTCATTTGATACTATTTCTATCTTAACATGTGATTCTTGACCTGCCATTGTGTATCTGTTCCTCTCAAACCCAGCCAGTCGAAGCAGATGGTCCGCTTGTCCTGAGCCTGGTTCTGCAAAAGGTTTCTTCCTCATGAGCAGTTCAAGGTCAGTAAGCACAACCAGAGTTAATACACAAGACGCACCTGATTATAAGGCTCACTAATCGATTGTTGAGAAAATTAAAGGATTTTAAGTGTGCCTTATAGTCCGAAAAATACGGTAACGATCTAAACTTTGGTGTAGACAACAAGTTCTCAGTTTTAATTTTTGCCCTTACCTATTTGGAGTCAACCCTGTCTGCCTGTCAGCAAAATATCTCATGAACCACAGAATGTGTTTTAATTAAACTTTTAGGAAATATTTGTTGGATGCACCTTCACAATTAACTTTTGCAGGTAATTAAATTCAACATGGCTGCTATATTTAACACAAAAATGGCTTGAATTGAGTTTGTTGTACAGATATTGAGCTCAAAGTTCGCGTGGACGCAGCTGAGAGTCCACTTCTACCTGCTCACCTTGAATGGACGTGTTGAGTCTGTTAATGGTCTCCAGCAGCTGCTGTCTCTCCACCGTCAGGTTCATAGTTTGGATTTTCAGCTCATCTCTCTCTGCCACTACATTCTTTAGGACGCTTTCGGCCTCTTGTTTTTGACTAAGAGCTAAACCGTAGGACGCCCGCAGCTCCTTTTCTGCCTTTTTAACCGTGTTGCACGTCTCCTGCAGCAGTTTCATCTGCGTGGTGAGGTTTTGGTGGCTGCTCGCTATCTTGTCTTTCTCGCTGGTGGAGAAGTTGAAGCTGTCCTGTAGATCTTCGACCTTCTGAATCAGCTTGTTGTAACTCAGCTGCAGCTGCTCTCTGGACCTGGTTGCGTTGTTGAATTTGTTCTGCAGGTTGTCCCTGTCTGTGGTCACAGAGTTGTAACTCGACTGTAGCTCTTTTTTGCGTTTCACAACCGAGTCGTATTGTGTTTGTAAGTTCTTCTGGGCCGTTGACAAGACATCTTTGTCTTTCTGTAGCTGAGCGTTGGTGGAATTTAATTGTTTTAATGTATTTTTTGCAGCAGTCTCGCTGGCCTGTAGCTGACTTTCGCTCATTTGAAGCTGCCTTTTATCCTTAATCAGAGAATCTACATTCTTTTGCAACTGATCGTTCGACCGTGTTATGCGATCGTTGCGTTGCTGCAACTGATCACGGACAACTTCGAGATTTGTTTTCTCATTTTTGACCATCTTGAGGTTTTGCTGCAGATTTTCTTTTTCTGTGCTCAGGGTGTTGAGGTTGTTCTGATGTTCTTTTCCTACATTTTGATCTGCCAAGAAGACAAAGAAGTATGAACCAGTGATTTGCTCCTGATATCATTAAGCAGATAAAACAAAACAGGTGGACTCACAGTGGACGCTTTGACCTATGACCCCTGCCACCAGGAGAACGCACAGCACCCCGAGGCAAACTGAAGCAATCTTGAAAGGTCTGTTCCTCAGTGCATTAACTGAATAAGCAAAGCAGAAGAAGAAACTTAAAATTGATGAAGTGATCTGAGGAAGTTGTGGTTTTACTGAGTGATGTTGCAAAATACTGCAACCCCCCCCCCCCCCCCCCATTTTTTTTTTTTTTTTTTTGTAATTTCAAGATTATCCAGACAAACTTAAAATGACAATAATAACATGAAGTGCTGAATGATTTTCCTGACATTCTTGAAGAGGTTGAACCTGAATTAAATTAAAACTTGGCTGCAATTAGCAAAGCAGTAGCTTAAAGCTAATACCAAGCAGAACAGCAGCTAAAAGAGTAGCTAAATGTGAATATTACCATATCAGTAGCTTAAAGCTAATCTGAGCAAAGCAGTAATAGTAGCTAAAAACTAAATGTAGCAGAAATTAATTCAACCAAAATCATTAAAGGGATTTAAAAAAATTAACATTTGAGGACAAATGTTTCTGTTTTTTTGTTTTGTGCTTTTATATAAACAACAGGAGATAGTTTAATTATATAATTTGTTTAATTATTTTTGTGTCACTCCCTTCTGTTTCTAAGAAGTTTTAGTACTGCAGTAATATTTGGCCATTCGAAGCAGTGCAAAAAAAAAGTATGACTTTAAAGAAGAAGTTAAAACTCAACCTGAAAGTTTTAAAGTGGAACATTGTTGAAAAAAATTATTTAAAAAATGCATTTTGATTATCTGAAAAAATCCTCATAATAATTTGTTAAATAATTGAGCTCATATTATAATATATAATTTAAAGGACAGAAACATTATGTTATTGCTTGATTCAACAGTTCCCATCCAAAATGCCAAAGTTTAAGAAGATGGTTGGTTGGTTGGTTGGTTGGTTGGTTGGTTGGTTGGTTGGTTGG